GCTAGGGCTTGAAGTCAGGGCCTCAAGCTCTCTCATGGCTGGGCTCTGTCATCTGAGCCACTATTCACTTTTTGCAAGTTATTGGGAGATATATCTCACTGGCTTTAAACCACAATTCTCAGATCTCAGCTTTCCAAGTAGCTAAAATAATATGTGTGAGCCACTGGCATCTACTTTATATTCATAATTTTTGAGATAGGGTCTTGCCTCTTGTGATAGTCCTTACCTAGACCACAATCCCTTATTTAGGCTTTTCACATGCTAGACATGTGTTATCATGCCCAGCTTCTGTTGAGGTGGAATCTTATAAATTTTTCTAACAGAGTTGGTCTCAAACCCTGATCTTCTCCGTTTTAGCCTGCCAGGTAGCTAGGATTACAAATATGAGCCCCAAGCACTTGGCTCTGCTTTGGTTTTTTTTTTTTTTTTTTTTTTTTTGGGTCCGGTCCTGGGGCCTGAACTCTGGGCCTGGGCACTGTCCCTCAGCTCTTCAGCTCAAGGCTAGTGCTCTACCACTTGAGTCACAGCGCCACTTCCGGCTTTTTTCTTTTTGCTTATGTGGTGCTGAGGAATCGAACCCAGGGCCTCTGGCATGCAAGGCATGCTCTCTACCACTGAGCCACCTTCCCAGCCCCATGCTCTGGTTATTTTTAAGATAAGGTCTTGTTTCTCATCCAGACCACTTTATTTATTTTTTTTTAATTTTTTTTTTTGGGTCCGGTCGTGGGACCTGAACTCTGGGCCTGGGCACTGTCCCCCAGCTCTTCAGCTCAAGGCTAGCGCTCTACCACTTGAGCCACAGCGCCACTTCTTGCTTTTTTCTTTTTGCTTATGTGGTGCTGAGGAATAGAACCCAGGGACTCAGGCATGCAAGGCAAGCGCTCTACCACTGAGCCACCTTCCCAGACCACTTTAGACAGTGATCCTTCTATTTATGCTTGCTGTAGCTGAAAAAGCAAGAATAAACCACCATGTCCAGCTTTTTCTGTTGAGTTTAGGATTCAGGAACTTTTTGCCCAGGCTGGCCTTGAATGATGATCCTCCCCAATCTTAGCCTCTGGAGTAGCTAGGATTACAGGTACGAGCCATCGCAATTTAAATAAAACTTTAAGGTAGTAAAATAAAAACAGAGCCAGGCATTGGTGGCTAACATCTGTAATCCTAGTTACTCAGGAGGCTGAGATTTGAAGATCTTGGTTCAAAGCCAGCCCAGGCAGGAAAGTCCATGAGACTCTTATCTCCAATTAACCACCAGAAAACCAGAAGTGGCACTGTGGCTCAAGTGGTAGAGTGACAGCCTTGAGCTGAAGAGCTGAGGGACAGTGCCCAGGCCCAGAGTTCAAGCCCCATGACCAAAAATAAATAAATAAATACATACATAAATACATAAGGATAAAGAATTATGCGCTCCCTAAACAAAACAAAGAAAGTGAAAACAGAGAGGGATTAAAAACATGGAGGGTGGGGTTGGAGGCTGCTGCTTTGCATTTTTAGTGCTAGATTTATTTTATTTTTGTTGTTTCAGTTTGTTTTTTTTTAATACAATTTGAGCTGGATGCTGGTGGCTTACACCTGTAACCCTACTACTCAGGAGGCTGAGATCTGAGAATTGCATCTGAGACTCTCATTGCCAATTAATCACGAAAAGCAGGAAATAGATGGCTCAAGAGGTAGAGCTCTAGCCTTGAGCAAAATAAACTCAGGGACAGCACCTAAGTGATGAGTTCAAGCCCCAGGAGCAACACACACACACACACACACAATATAATTTTATTGCTATAATTCAGATGTTGTACAGAGGTGTTACCGTATCATAAGTCAGGTAATGAGTACAATTCTTTTTAAACAATGTCACACCTTCCTTTGCTTTCAGATTTGGTGGGGGGTTTTTTGTTTTTTGTTTTTCTTAGTCGCAGGGCCTGAACTCTGGGCCTGGGCACTGTCCCTGAGCTCTTCAGCTCAAGGCTAGTGCTCTACCACTTGAACCACAGCGCCACTTGCAGCTTTTACTGGTTATGTGGTACTGAGGAATTGAACTCAGGGCCTTGTGCATGCAAGGCAAGCACTCTACCACTGAGTCACCTTCCCAGCCCCCAGATTTGGTGTTTTATATGACTGAACTTATACTAACTATATCAATGAAACTTTAAAAATAAAAGAGAAGAGCTGGCAGTGTGACTCAAGAGGTAAGGTACTGGCTAGCTAAAAGACCTTGAATTCAAACCTCAGTACTGAAGAAAAGCAAAAACAAAATTAATACAAAATACATGGATGATAGCTGGACTATGTTGGCTCATGCCTGTAATCCTAGCTACTCAGGAGACCGAGATCTAAGGATCAAAGTTCAAAGCCAGGGGCTGGGAAGGTGGCTCAGTGGTAGAGCGCTTGCCTTGCATGCATGAGGCCCTGGGTTTGATTCCTCAGCACCACATAAGCAAAAAGAAAAAAGCCAGAAGTGGCGCTGTGGCTCAAGTGGTAGAGTGCTAGCCTTGAGCTGAAAAGCTGAGGGACAGCGCCCAGGCCCAGAGTTCAGGCCCCAAGACCAGACCCTCCCCCCCCCAAAAAAAGTTCAAAGCCAGCCCGGGCAGTCCATGAGATTCTTATCTCCAATTAACCAGAAGAAGAAGCGGTGCTGGGGCTAAAGCACTGGTCTTAAACAAAAGAGCTCAGGGACAGTGCCCAGGCCCCGAGTTCAAGCCCCATGACTGGCAAAAAACAAACAAACAAAAAAAAAAAACACAGAAGAGGGGCTAGGAAGGAGGCTCAATGGTAAAGTGCTTACCTCATACACATGAGGCCCTGGGTTCAATTCCTCAGCACCACATAACAGAAAAAGCCAGAAGTGGTGCTGTGACTCAAGTGGTAGAGTGCTAGCCTTGAGCTAAAGAGCTCAGGGACAACACCCAGAGTTCAAACTCCACGACCAACAACAACAACAAAAAGTACAGAAAACCATTCTTTTAACTTATAATTCCAATTGTAACACTAAACATAGCCACTTTATGTAAGAAAATCTTTTATAGAAAATAAAACAAAACAAAAAACACCATCGATAATGTCTGTATCCAAGGTGAATAGACACACCAAGAACCACTAATAGAAGACAAATCAAATTGTGAAAATTTCATTCAATAGCATAAGGCTATTCCCATATATACATGGAAATGTATCCAAATCATATGATTATGCAAAATAGTGCAGTAAATTGTACAACATCATGTGCTATATAATCCATTCTAGTTATTTAAAAAGTCCAAGTATAGGGGCTGGGAATGTGGCCTAGGGTAGAATGCTTGCCTAGCATGCATGAAGCCTTGGGACAGTGCCCAGGCCCTGAGTTCAAGCCCTAGGACTGGAAAAAAAAAAAAAAAATCCAAGTATAAAGCCAGGTGGCAGTGGCTCACCCCTGTAATCCTAGCTACTCAGGAGACTGAGATCTGAGGCTTGCCAGCCTGGGCAGGAAAGTTTGTGAGGCTCTTATCTCCAATTAACCACCAGAAAACCAGAAGTGGTGCTGTGGCTCAAAGTGGTAGAGCACTAGCATTGAGCTGAAGAGCTCAGGGACAGTGCCTAGGCCCAGAGTTCAAGCCCCACAACTGACAAAAAAAAAAACAAAAAAAAAAGGGCTGGGAAGGTGGCTCAGTGGTAGAGCACTCGTCTTGCATGCTCAAGGCTCTGGGTTCAATTCCTCAGCACCACATAAGAAAAAAGCCGGAAGTGGCTCTGTGGCTCAAGTGGTAGAGTGCTAGCCTTGAGCTGAAGAGCTGAGGGACAGCGCCCAGGCCCAGAGTTCAGGCCCCATGACCGGACCCCCCCCAAAAAAAAGTCCAAGTATATGTACTTGCACAGAAAAAAATGTGGAGAACATGATACAAATAATGAACAAATGGACTTCTGGGGACTGAGATTTTGTGAAGCTTTTTATTGTCTATGTTAAAAGCCTCTGAGGGCTGAGTGGTAGAGTGCTTGCCTAGCATGTATAAAGCCCTGGGTTCGATTCCTCAGTACCACATACACAGAAAAAGCTGGAAGTGGTGCTGTGGCTCAAGTGCTAGAGTTGCTAGCCTTAAGCAAAATAAGCTCAGGGATATTGCCCAGGCCCTGAGTTCAAGCCTCAGGACTAGCAATAAAAAATAAAAAACCTCTGAGACTTGGAACACAGCTCAAGTGGTAGAGCACTGGCCTAGCAAGTGTGAAGCTCTGAGTTCAATCAATCCCCAGTTCTTGGTGGGGGGAAAAAAAGCTTCTGCTTTTATAAAAGACATGTATCACTCCTAAAGCCACTCGTACAACTAAAAACTAGATATAAGCCATTGTGATGGATATACCATGCCAGTGCTTTCTTGGTCATGCAGGGTAGAGAGGGAGGATAGTCCTGCTCTGAAGCTTCCCAGGGACCAGGGATGGCCCAGCATGAGAAAGTTCATGAATCAGAAAGGCCAGCATGGGAAATGATTGTTAATACTTAGGCAGTCAAATCAGACACTTTGCCAAAGCTCCCCAGTACTCTAGGCCAGAAGCAGGGCAGTCCTAGCCTAGACACTCTCCACAGTCAACAATGAAGGTTCTGTGAAACAGAAGGAGTGAGTTAATCAGACAGCAGGACAGAAACACACATGCATGTGCAGACATACATACACAGGTGTGCTTCATGCTCAAACATCAGAGAATGCAAACATGCAGCTGCTTGCCAGCACACAGCTTCAAAAGATTGCACAAGTGCTTAGATACAGAGGGAGACAAAGTCCATGAATTCTCCTTTTGAGATATACACTCAGATCCGAGTTTCATTCTGACCTTATATCAATGGGAGCTTGGATAAATTGTACAAACTTGTGCAAAAAGAAGACTAATCACCCTGATCTCAAGGGTGTCATCAGACAGTGTGAGAGGATATAGCTAATGCCTGCCAGCCAGTCTTCCACATAACCTAGCCACAGTAAGGGCAGAGGTCAGAGGCCAGGTGGTAGGCAGGGAGGGGTGAAGTGAGGGGTACTCACGGATAGCAGAGGAACAGAAGGTTCAGGAAGGAGTAGGTCCTGAAGAGGTGAATGAGGGATCGGCACAGACTCCAGCCTGTTGCCGTGAGAACGGTGAATCGGGTGAGGAACAGCAGGATGGAGCGAAAGAGGGAGACCTTCCCCCTCTGAGAAGCCTGGGTCAGAGGAAATAGGATGGAATGGAGCCTTGGATGGAGGTAACTGGGGCTATGCCTAAATCCCGCCCAGGATGGCCTGTGCCCACCCAGGGAAATGTGTACAGCAGGCTGGGCAAAACCTGGCTGGGTGAATCCACTTTGATGCTCAGTAAATTCTGAGAGCCAAAAGGATGTGATAAATGTTCTTTTTTTTTTTTTTTTTTTTTTGGGTCCGGTCATGGGGCCTGAACTCTGGTCCTGGGCGCTGTCCCTCAGCTCTTCAGCTCAAGGCTAGCGCTCTACCACTTGAGCCACAGCGCCACTTCTGGCTTTTTTCTTATTGCTTATGTGGGGTGGGGAATCGAACCCAGGGCCTCAGGCATGCAAGGCAAGCACTCTACCACTGAGTCACCTTCCCAGTCCCATGATAAATGTTCTTTAAACAAGTCCAAAGGGAGCCCCAAGGAAATGCTTCAGGGCTGAAGGGCTGGGTGAGTCTCCTTGGTACCCCAAGGGGAAAAAGGAAGTTCCCAAGTCCCTGGACAGTCTCTAGGACCCAATCACCTCCTTCACGATGGACCCAATGAAGCGGCGGCCCAGAACAATGGTGGTCACCATCAGCAAGTTGAAGTCGATCAGGTGGAAGTTCTGTCAGGGGGCAGAGGCCTGGGGGTCACGCGGGCTCATTGCCTATACAAGGGCTTTTCTCATACCCTCCCCTCCCTCTGTCCAGTCCTTTCCACAGAGACGGTCCCCATTCTCTGACCTTCATTGGCCTCCAGTTGAGTCAGGCCAGGAAATTACCTGTGGAGAACAGGACCCAGAGAAGGGAAGTGGGACAGTCCCTGGGGAAAAGAAAGTGCTGAATGAGCCCTCTCCCTCCCTCTCATTCTCCACCCCCTTCCCCAAGCCTCTGTCCCTGTACCTCTTCTGCCCAGGGCTCTTTCTACCTTTGAGACACTCATATATTCCTGTGGCTCAATTCCTGGTTAGGACTTAAGCCTCTTGAGCTCCTTTTAGGAGAAATCTGTGCCAGATTGACCTCTGCTATCCTTACAATGCCTAGCATGGCACACTAATATTCAAGAATCACCAGTTTTCCCTTTCTCCACCATGCCTATCATGGGGATAAGTACACAGTGGTGCTTGGTAGGCTACCTCAAACTGAAACTAAGCAACACAGACACACACAAATACACACACAAATACATACAACACAGCTGGCACTGGCTGGTCAGCACCTACCAGGGAGGTGTGGGAGGGTGGGTGGGAAGGTGGATACCACCACACTGTCTTGTAGATGTTGATGTAGTGGACGAAGAGAGCTATGAGCTGACAGAAGAAGAGCTGCAACTCAAATAAAATGCTGGCCTGGACGGGAAGTTCAGGGATCTTGCAGTGCTGCAGAGGCACAACTGTCTGGGTGGCCAATGGAGGGCTGGCAAGGCCCGTCCCAGAACTGCTCCTGGAGGTGGGAAGGGAGCAACATCAGGAGCTGACCTGAGACCTTTATCAAGATTATAGACACTGTGGGGTTTGATCAGCAAAAAGCCATTCAAACTAAGGAAGAAGTCCTCCTACTCTTGCTTGCCAAAGGAGCTGACAAAGCCTCTCCCTAATTTGATTCATGTCTTCCATCATTCCCTAGAAGGGAATTATCAGGTCCATTTGACACATGAGGAAAAAAGGAGGCCCAAAGAGAGAGGCATTTTGTCCAAGCCAGCAACAAATCAGAAACAGAACTGCTTCTACCTATCACACTGCATTTGTCCAAGTGACTGCCCTCAGGTTAATTCCCTCTGGGTCTTCTCTGTAGCTCACTCCCCACTGACCCCTACTTTGCATCCAGGGTATCTATCATATTCTATAACCCAGTCAGGGAGCTTCTGGTCCACCCTGGTCTTCACTGCCACAGCGCAAGAGGCAAACAGTTTTACCTGGCACGGGAACGAACACTGGTCACTGATGCACTGGAAGTGTGGCTTCCACCAGAGCTACCTGAGGATCCCGGTTCACAGAGCGGATTTCGACAGTAAGATGTCCTGTTGGGACCTCTTCGTCCTCCTGTGGGGCTCAACACAAAGTAGATGGTCAAGGCAGAGGGCATATAGCAAGGACAATAATAATGAGACTAGCTAGCAGTTATGTGATATCTCCGGGACCTTATAGTAGGTCCTTGTCTACCTCTTCAAACTCACCTCTGGCCTAGCCCATGCTCTTGCCATCTTGCTCTTTTTCTCCAAAAGCTAAGTTTATTGTCACCTCTTTACTTGCCATATTCTCTGTCTGGAAAGTCCTTCCCTCACATTCTTGAACCAATTTAACCAGTACTTTCTTTTTTATTTTAGTCTTTTCAGCTAGGGTATTACATTTTATTTACTTTTTTACAGGTACCAGGGTTTGAACTCAGAGCCTCACATGTACTCAGCTTGCTTGAAAGCTGGCAGGCACACCATCACCTCAACCTGCCTCCAACCCATGTATTGCTGGGATTTTTGGAGGGGATGGAGTCTCTCAAGACTTTTATTGCCGGGCACCCATGGCTCAGGCCTGTAATCCTAGCTACTCAGGAGGCTGAGATCTGAAGATCGAGGTTCAAAGCCAGCCGGGGCAGGAAAGTCCGTGAGACTCCAATAAACCACTAGAAAACCAGAAATGGCATCGTGGCTCAAGTGGTAGAGGGCTCACCTTGAGCTGAAGAGCTGAGGGATAGCGCCTAAGCCCAGAGTTCAAGCCCCATGACCAACAACAAAAAAAAAAAAGACTTTTATTATCAGGTGAATAGTACCTCACACCTGTAATCCTACTACTCGGGAGGCTAAAATTTGAGGATCCTGTATAAAGCCAGACTACACAGATAAATCCCAGAGGCTCTTATCTTCAAGTAACTAGGAAAAGGCCAGAAGTAGAGTGTGGCTTAAGTGTTGGCTTGTTGGCATTGAGCAGAAAAAGCTACACAAAAAGGGGAGGCCCTGAGTTGAAGTCCCACTACCAGTACAAAAGAAAAAAAATATTTTCTGCCCCAAATGACTTCAGTCCTTGATCCTTCACATCTCAGTTTCCTCAGTAGTTAGGATCATAGGTGTGCGCCACTGACACCTGGCATGGGGTCTTAAAATTTTTGCCCAGTCTGATTGTAATCTTCCTATCTCTATCTCCTTGGCAGCTGAGATTACAGGTGTGTAACAACACACCCAATTCTCAATTTTTTTTTCAGTGCTATTGAGTAAGAATATAACCTACCACTGAGCTATACCAGCAGCCCTCCCTACCATTTTAAAAGTAGCTGTCCCATCACACTGTTGTTTTTTTTTTTTTTTCTTTTAATTTGTCCTGGGGCTTGGCACTGGGCACTGTCTCTGAGCTCTTCAGGTCAAGGTGAGCACTCTACCACTTTGAGCCACAGTGCCACCTCCAGTTTTTTGGTAGTTAATTGGAGATAAGAGTCTCACCCACTTTTCTGCTCAGGCTGGCTTTGAACTGTGATCCTCACATCTCAGCCTCCTGAGATTAGCTAGGATTATAGGAGCTAGGATTACATGAGCCACTAGTGCCTGGCTTTTTTGTTTAGTTTTTTAATGTCAGCACTGGAGCTTGAAATCAGGGCCAAGGAGCTGTCTCTTAGCTTTTTTTTTTTTTGGGTCAGTCGTGGGGCTTGAATTCTGGGCCTGAGTGCTATCCCTCAGCTCTTAGCTCAAGGTTAGTGCTCACCACTTGAGCTACAGCACCACTTCCAGTTTTCTGGTGGTTTATTGGAGATAAGATTTTCACGGACTTTCCTGCCCAGGTTGGCTTTGAACTGCAATCCTCAGATCTCAGCCTCCTGAGTAGCTAGGATTACAGAAGTGAGCCACCGGCACCCTGCAGTTTCTTTGTTGTTTTTTTTTTTTTTTGGGGGGGGGGTCCGGTCGTGGGGCCTGAACTCTGGGCCTGGGCGCAGTCCCTCAGCTCTTCAGCTCAAAGCTAGCACTCTACCACTTGAGCCACAGTGCCACTTCCAGCTTTTTCCTTTTTGCTTATGTGGTGCTGAGGAATCGAACCTGCAGCCTCATGCATGCAAGGCAAGCACTCTACCACTGAGCCACCTTCCCAGCCCTTTCTTAGCTTTTTTTTTTTTTTGTGGGTCATGGGGCCTGAACTCTGGGCCTGGGCACTGTCCCTCAGCTCTTCAGCTCAAGGCGAGCGCTCTACCACTTGAGCTACAGCGCCACTTCCGGTTTTCTGGTGGTTTATTGGAGATAGGAGTCTCACGGTCTCTCCTGCCTGGGCTGGCTTTGAACGGCGATCCTCAGATCTCAGCCTCCTGAGTAGCTAGGATTACAGGTGTGGGCCACCAGCGCCCGGCCTTTCTTAGCTTTTTTAAGCTCAGAGTTCCACTTCTGGTTTTTTGGCAGTGAATTGGAGATAAAGTCTCATAGACTTTTCTGCCATGGCTGGCTTCAAACCTCAATCCTCAGCTCTCAGCCGCTTGAATAGTCATTTAGATATGAGTCATCACTGCCCAGCTGCTTTTGTTTTTTAAATAACAGGGTCTGCTTTGTAACCCAAGCTGGCCTCAAACTTATGATCCTCCAGCCTCAGCCTCCCAAGTGCTGAAATTACAGATGTGTGGCACCACATCCAGGCCTTATGTCTTTTCTACTGCTGTTTTCCCTACCACAGTGCCCAGCAAATAAGGAGCTTAGAAAGTTGAGCCCATGCTGTTTTGGAAACAGCATAGGGGTTTAAGTCCTGAGGTGTCAGTTGTGCTAGGCACTAGATGCATGTGAACACGGTGGAGGTTACAATTTTGGGCAGCTTTGAGATTGACTCCTTTTTCCCCTAATGCTCAGAGATTTCCAATCCAATGGGGATCCAAGGCCCAAACTCAGGCTCAGGTTCTGGAAGAATCTGTTTTTGTGGACCCAACACTTCAATTTTACAACCTATATCCCTAGGCTTAGCAATCTAGCCCAAGATTTCAGACATAGTCCTGCACAAACACAGTACTTAATCCAGTGTACTTAATCGGAAGTACTTAATCTGTTATACTGGTCCACACTGCTCAAGGACACATACAACCTGTGACTCCCCATCTCACAAGGTTTTCCCACACGCTCGTCCAGGAACTCTGCCCTCTTCTCCCCCAAACCAGAAGCTCTGTTCATACACTAGTTCGTTTGGCTTAGAGAGCCTCAAACTCCCTCAACCCAATAGCTCTGCCCACACCCACTCTCCCGTCTTTAGAAGCTGTCCACCCACATAAAGGCCCTCAGGCCCGCCCACACGCGACTGTCAGCCCGGAAACCCCGCCCACAAACCATGAAGAGCCCTCCAAGCCCAGAAGCCTCCTTCCAGAAGGGGTCTCCGAGGTCTGGGCGGTCTCCTCCCCGCCTCCTCGGTGGAAACCCGCACACCTTCAAAAAGTTCGCCCCCGCACAGCGCCACGAGTTCCCCCAGCCCCACCCCTAGCGCGAAGCCACGCCCACCGGAGCCCCGCCCCCATCCCTAGCCCGCACCGGCGGGTCCTCACCCGAGCCCAGGCCCCCCCAGCCCTCAGCCTTCCGGAACCCCTTCCCGCCGACCCAGGGTCCCGCTCCCACGACTGAGGCTCCCCGCACACACCCCGCAAAACCACAGAGGGGGCGGGGTCCCGCCTGCGCCCGCATCCCCTCCCCCTCCCTCAGGTCCGCGTGGAGCGGCAATTAACACTTCGGCCGCCTCGACCCCCGCGCCTATGGGTTTCCGGGCCGAGCCGGAGCCGCTCTCCTCACCCATCTCCTTCCCCAGCGCTCTCCCGCTTCGCCGCCGCAGCTCCTGCGGGCAATATGTCGGAGGCGACGGCGGCCGGGAGAGGACTAACCGCCGCAGCCTGGTCCCAGGGTAGCAGCTGCGCGCTCCCGCCTCGCCGCGAAATTTGCATACAAGGCGGGATAGTAGTCGGGAGCGCGCCTCTTAAAGGGGACACCGGATAAAGGCGGTGACTGCGACTGCGCCCTCTTTGTCTCGACCTCCTCGCATCTACTGCCTTGGGAGGTACCTGCTGTTCCCCTGTGTGCCTTCCCTTCCTCCGGCCTCTCTTTAGGCTCGAGGGAGAGGCTGGAACCGTCCCCTCCGTGGCTGCTGGAGATGAGCATCCAGCCACAGGTGTGTAAAACTTAAGAGCGTCCCCAATTGGCCTTTCATGTCTCTCCCTTGGACTCTCGCTCATCCCAGCTCTTTCTTTGGTTCTGCATCCAATCTCTAATTTAGTCTTGCTGTTCTAAGCATTTATCAGACTTGAACCATTGTCACTTTGAAAAGCTTTGTTCAGATCTCGAGTTGTGATTTCTGAACTTTGCAATCCTGTTTCTTGGACCAAAGGCATATTTCCCCTTACAAGTCTTGTTACTGTTTTTGGCGGTTCTGGGGTTTAAACTCAGGGCTTCCCTTACCAGTGGGACACGCTTCTTGCTCATTTTTTGGGGGGGGGAGGGGTCTGGTCGTGGGGCCTGAACTCTGGGCCTGGGCGCTGTCCCTCAGCTCTTCAGCTCAAGGCTAGTACTCTACCACTTGAGCCACAGCGCAACTTCTGGCTTTTTTTTTTCTGCTTATGTGGTGCTGAGGAATCGAACCCAGGGCCTCATGCATATAAGGCAAGCGCTCTACCACCGAGCCACCTTCCCAGCCCTCTTGCTCATTATTTTTGAGATACTCTGTTCCTGCCCAGTCAACACCTCAAGATCCACCAATGTTAACCTCCTAGAATCATAGGCCCATACCATTACCTTCTCTTAGTTGACAGGGAGTCTTGGGAACTTTGTTTTTTGGCTGGGAACCTTAATTCCAGGAATCTCGGCCAGGATTGTATGGTTATGGGTATGTGCCATCAGCCCTGGGAACTACTTTTCTTTGTTGTTGTTGGTCATGGGGGCTGAACTCTGGGCCTGGGCACTGTCTCAGCTCTTCAGCTTAAGGCTAGCACCCTACCACTTGAACCACAGTGTCACTTCCAAATTTTTTCTGCGTATGTGGTGCTGAGGAATCCAACCCAGGGCCTCATGCATGTGAGGCAAGCACTCTACCACTGAGCCAACTTCAAAGCCCGGGAACTACTTTAATCAACGTTTGCCATCACTGTTAGGCTTAGTAAGCATTTTAAGAGGAAACATTCTCTGATGGTGATAGCTCACACTTGTAATACTATCTACTCAGGAGGCTGATATATGAAGATCAGGGTTCAAAGCCAGCCTGAGCAGGAAAATCTGTGAGTCACAGCTCCACATCTGGTGCTTGTGTTTTTGGTTGGTCATGGGGCTTGAACTCTGGGCCTGGGCACTGTCCCTCAGCTCTTCAGCTCAAGGCTAGCGGTCTACCACTTGAGCCACAGTACCACCTCCGGCTTTTTCTGCTTATGTGGTGCTGAGGAATCGAACCCAGGGCCTCATGCATGCAAGGCAAGCACTCTACCACTGAGCCACTTTCCCAGCCCTCTGTGAGATTCTTGTTGTTTTTTGTTTTTGTCGGTCATGGGGCTTGAACTCTGGGCCTGGGCACTGTCCCTCAGCTCTTCAGCTCAAGGCTAGAGCTCTACCACTTAAGCTACAGCACCACTTCCTCTGTGAGATTCTTATCTCCACTTAACCAGCAAAAAAAAAAAAAAAAAAGCAGCTGGGTGCTGATGGCTCATGCCTCTAATCCTAACTACTCAGGAGGCTGAGATTTGAGGTTCATGGTTCAAAGCCAGCCTGTGCAGGAAAGTCCGTGAGACTGTTATCTCCAATAAACCACCAGAAAACCAGAAGATGGTGCTGTGGCTCAAGTGGTAGAGTGCTCACCTTGAGCTGAAGAGCTGAGGGACAGAGCCCAGGCCCAGAGATCAAGGCCCCTGACCAACCAAAAAACAAAACAAAAAGGGGCTGGGAAGGTGGCTCAGTGGTAGAGTGCTTGCCTTGCATGCATGAGGCCCTAGGTTTGATTCCTTAGTACCACATAAGCAGAAAAGGCCCGGAGTTGTGGCTCAAGTGGTAGAGCGCTAGCCTTGAGCTGAAGAGCTGAGGGACAGCACCCAGCCCAGACTTCAGGCCCCGCCACCAACAAAAAATAACTAAAGAAATAACAGGGAGGGCTGGGGATGTAGCTTAGTGGTAGATTGCTTGCCTAGCATGCATGAAGCCCTGGGTTCGATTCTTCAGTACCACATAATCAGAAAAAAAAATGCAAGTAGGGCTATGGCTCAAGTGGTTGAGTGCTAGCCTTGAGTAAAAGAAGGTCAGAGACAGTGCCCAAGCCCTGAGTTCAAGCCCTAGGACTGGCAAAAGAAAAAAGAAAAATAACAAAAAGCTAAGAACCAGGGGCTTACACCTATACTCTAAGCTACTCAGGAGCCTGAGATCCAGAAGATTGTGGTTTGAAGCCAGCCCCAGCAGAAAAGTCTGAGACTCCATCTCCAAAACAGCCAGCAAAAAGCTGGGTTGGAGGTGTGATTCAAGTAGCAAAGGGCCAGTGCAGTGAGCAAGTGCAAAGCCCTGAGTTCCTCCCTGGCAAACTGCAAGTTTAAGGCTAGTCTGGGCTACCTGCACATTTAGGAAAAATTATTATTATTATTATTTTGGGTCCGGTCGTGGAGTCTGAACTCTGGGCCTGGGCACTGTCCCTCAGCTCTTCAGCTCAAGGCTAGCGCTCTACCACTTGAGCCACCTTCCCAGCCCTTAGGAAAAATTATTAACAAGGTCTATATAGCTTAGGTGGAGCAGACATGAAGAGTAGAACCGAAGAGATGGCTCATATAGGATTGTATAGCTTTTGCTGTTAATAAGATGAGCCACAGAAGGGTTTGAATTTCCTTCCTCACCTCCAGCCTCCTGTTGGTGTTTGAATCTAGGATCTGATGCATGCTAAACAAATGCTTTACCACTGAATCTTCCACATTGGTGAGCACTCAGCTGCTTTGTGACCTTTAAGCTCTCACTTCCCTTCTCGGAACCTTCATTTCCTGAGTTACTTGCTCTTTATGGGCTTTTTCAGGAGTCTGAATTTTAGAGGAAATTCCGCTAGTTCTAGATCAATCCTGTTGGGAGTTGAGATTTCTTCCTTGGCCATGATACTCTGGGGCCCAAAGCTAGTAAATCTGTCCTGTAGATAATCAACATGGATTATGTAGACCCCTAGTGGTAGCCAGTGGTTCTGAAACCACAGGTTAAAAAGTGAGGCTGGGAATATGTCTTAGTGGTAAAGTTCATGCATGAAGCCCTGAGTTTGATTCCTCAGTACCACATACACAGAAAAAGCTGGAAAGTGGTACTGTGGCTCAAAGCCTTGAGCAAAAGAAGCTTAGAGATAGTGCCCAGGCTGTGAATTCGAACTCCAGTACTGGCAAAATAAAGAAAGAAATAAAACCATGGGCTGGGAAGGTGGCTCAGTGGTAGAGCGCTTGCCTTACATGCTCAAGGCCCTGGGTTCGATTCCTCAGCACCACATAAGCAAAAGAAAAAAGCCGGAAGTGGCGCAGTGGCTCAAGTGGTAGAGCGCTAGCCTTGAGCTGAAGAGCTGAGGGACAGCATCCAGGCCCAGAGTTCAGGCCCCACGACCGGACCCCCCCCCCCCCCAAGAAAAAAAAAGAAAGAAAGAAAACCATACACAATGTATTTTAGTTTTTCGGGGGGAGGGGAGGGGCAAGTTCTGTGTAACTGAGGGTGGCCTCTAACTTGCAAATCTGTCTTTACTTCCTGAGTGTTGGATTATAGGCTGTCTTTGAACCATGATACTCTGGATCTCAGTCTCCTAAATTACTGGTATTACAGGTGTGAGCCACTAGCATCCATTATCAATATTTAAGTGTGATTATTAAGAGCACCCTCTCTGCCAGGTGCTGGTGGCTCATGCCTGTGACTCTAGCTACTCAGAAGGCTAAAATCTAAGAATCAAAGCCAGCTTGGGCAGGAAAGTCTGTGAGACTCTTATCCCCAATTAACCATTCAAAAACCAGAAGTAGAGCTGTGGCTTAAAGTGGTAGAGTGCTAGCTAGCCTTGAGTCAAAGAGCTCAACACCCAGAGTGCAAGCCCCACAACCAACAAGGAAAAGAAGAAAAGCACTCTCTGGAGCCAAATTTATATGGAAATCAAATCTTAGTCTGAGTAATTAATGACTGCATGAATGACTTTAGGAAGTTACCTAACCTCTGTGCCTATTTCCTCATTGAGGAAAGTATCAATATGTGTACTGAGATTATGGTGAGGATCAAGTTAGTCAACTGTGTGATGCAGTCTTAAACTACTGTGTGTGTGGTTGTGTGTGCGCGTGTGTGCGCACACCAATACTAAGGCTTGAATTTCAGGCCCTTTCACTTATATTTTGCTTTTTCACTCAAGGCTGGTGCTTTGCCACTTGAGTCACACCACCTTCTGACTTTTTGCTAACTGGACATAAGTCTTAATTTTATTTTTCTGCCAGGCTGGCTCTGAACTGTGATTCTTAGATCTCAGCCTCATGAGTTGCTAGGATTACAGGTGTGACCTCACCAACATCTGGCTTTTGCTATTATTAAAAGATCTATCACAAAGTACAAATGTGAATTTATCATGGGAGGTTCTGAAGAAATGTCACCTGGCTTTTGTCACTTTTTGCTTTCTCATGTACCCAAGAATCTTTTTTCTTTCTTTTTTTTTTTTCAGTCATGGGGTCTGAATGCTGGGCCTTGGCACTGTCCTTCAGCTCTTCAGCTCAAGGCTAGCACTCTACCACTTGAGCCAGTGACACTTCTGGCTTTTTCTGCTTATGTGGTGCTGGGGAATCGAACCCAGGGCTTCATGCTTGCAAGGCAAGCACTCTACCACTGAGTCACCTTCCAAGCCTCTTCCCCCTGCCCCCCTGCCCCCGACTCCCAGTGCTGGTCCTTGAACTCAAGGCCTGGGCTCTGACCTTGA